TGCAGAAAGAACTACTTTGGGGTGTGATAAGATGTAAACTCTTCTTTGTGTGAGATGGTCCTGCAATGGCGAGAGCTTTGAAGCCTATCTTGTGGCTCTTCCCTGAAATGAGCACATCAATAAATGACAAGCAGCTTTTAAATTCTGGAGCTAGATGTTACGAAATCTCAAGCTGCAGGAAAACCCAGATGACTGGAAAAGAAAGCATGTGATATTTTCCTCCTCGATGGTGCCCAGCAACAACCTTTATAAAGAACTGGATGAAAATATTAATGATAAAGATGAACAACTGCATACCCTTTCCAACATGCCCTGTTCTCCTTTTTCTCTTATGGGAAGTTCTGCCTGGACTTCATTGGTATGATTTACTTTCCTATTTAATTCTACAGAGTGTTTCCCAAACAAATTTCTTATTGTTTCTTCTATAATGTAGACTATAAAGCATTTGACATTGCATTTAGAAATTGCATACACAAGAACATGTGTTGCAAGAACATGTGCGAATTCACTCGAATGTACAGACTAGTGCTAATGATAGTAATCTGTGTTATATCATGACTATCAAATATACAATTTCTGATATAATTCAGTTCCAAAGAGAATGGATGCACGGAATGATGCCTACACGTAGTATCCATTTACTGCAAAGAGTTTGCTAAAGGCAGCTATTTCCATTAATGACTAGATCTTTTATTCAGAAAGGCAGCTTGCTTCCTGGAGTCCCAAGTGTTTTTCAGACAATCTAAGCAAACATTTTCTGAATTTCTAACTGTTCATATAAGGTACTGTATCCTGAAAGAGCCCAAGCCTTATTGCCTTTCATTTGTGTCTGATAATTCATTCTCTTCAAGCTTTGTATAAAGCTCCTGTTATTCCTGCTGATGTTTCCCTGGATTACTGTGTTTCAGACTGGTGCTAAAAAATAGTTTGCAATGAGGGCATTCAAACAGATACATGAAAATGGCATGAGAGAAATCCCCAAGGAGCAGTGACCCACAAAAAGCGCTTGCTTCTTCAGTTACACAGAGTCCATGAAGCTTTTCTGTCCCCTTTTTCAGTTTCTGAATTTTAGCAGAAGCTACGAATGCAAAGTCAGGCAGGCTATTCACAACTGTGGTGTGCTTTAACCATCTTTATTGCTTGCTTGTTGAGAAACTGCACAGTATAAAACCGAATTTTTCTCTGTTAGGTAAGTCCCTGTATCCAAAAATGGTGTTATAAAGCTGATCATTGCAATCGTTGCAAGACAACTGCAATATGTCATCCCTCTGGACAACAGCAAAGATCCCAGGGAAATTCTGATTTCCCACAAATCTTCCAAATTTCTGTTTTACTGCTCTGCCCCATAGGAGCAAAAGGTTTAGGTAAGTGCTTACAGCAGGATCACATCCTACTTGTTAAACCCGTAAAGAAAGGACATTATAGAAATTCTTACTTTTTTTTTTTTTTTTTTTTTTTTTTTTTTCTACACAAGAAAAGCTGACGGTTTCAAAACTACATGTATTTTAGATGGCAGGCTCTGCACCTAGTATTTTGTTCTTGTTCACACTGTACTCGTCTAACATACTGTGACATCCAAGTATGCTAAACTATGGTCTTGTTATTGCAAAATCGTAGTCGGGGAAGTAGGAACGGGGGAGCTGTAAAGAACAGCTCATCTTTGTGGCAAACAATGATTTGGAGCACTGTTTCATACAGTAGAGATTTTCAGTTTTCTGTAAGAGTATGTACTTATTTACCTACTTCTCTGTTAACTAACAATGACTTTGAAGCTACATCTAAAGCAAATCATTTCAGTGTAGGCATTTGGGACACAGAAAACCAGGGAGAGGCTTTTCTTTAGAAAGGGGGGAAGCAATTACTTCTTCCATGCTTTAGTAGAAAAGCAGTCCTTGAGATGACAAAAAACAGAGAGAAATGTCTTCAGGCAGTTTTAAAATATAAGCAAGAAAACAAACAAACAAACAAACCAAAAAAAACCCCACAGGCTTTCATTAGGAATGACAAAATATTATGAAAATTGTGAATCAGTCTATCACTACAAATTGAAAATCCTGCATTTATAATGAAAAGAGAATACTGCATTGTCAATTCTATCTTAACTTAATCCACAACTTTAAGCAGGCATGACATTTTGGCAATACTTTTCAACAGCATTCTTTATTTTGCTCAGAAAATATCAATGACAATTTTTCTTGCATTTTTTTTTCAGTCAGGTTATTTATTTATTTATTTATTTTGTGTGTGTGTCTGTATCTGTGCGTGTGTGTGTGTGCATGTGTGTGTGTGTTGGCTGTGTGTTGGTGTCTCTTGTGAAGATGAGATTTATCTTATCTGCCTGTGCTCACCAGTGAATCAACAAAAACTGCTGAGATTATAGTAAGAGCATAAGCTATCAAGAGTCTTTCAGACACAAGAATCTGTGTAGAAGTGTTGCAAAGAAATTTGACCTACTTCACTGCAAGCTTTCAAAACCTGATAGTCTTTCTTTATTGAATGCTGTTTACCTGTTCTGAAGCAGTTGTTGATTTCTAGACCTTCGTGATCTGGGTTGCATTGGGATTCCTCACATCATTAAGCGTGAAATGGGGCCTTGATGAATGGAGGCATGAATGCCTAACTGCTCCTCTGATCGTTCTTCATATTACCTCATTTTCTGATACTACTGATACTTACACTTCATTTTAAGAACTTTTGTAGTGTCCATGAAAATTCACTTTATCCAAATATTTCTTGTTGCAGGTTAAAAAGCTGAAAATTTATTTAATTTTTTCCCTTTTACAATGCTTTCTGGTACCTGTAACTACTGGTATTGACTATAATGGGTGTCTGTAGGGAGAATAAAATACTGCTGTAGCTGTACTTTATCTAAACCCGACATAACCAAAGCTGCAGAAACAACTTCAGATATAAAGCAAATATAGAAAATGGAACTCAGCTCACTTGAATTCATTAGCTTGTGCTAGACGTCTAAATTTAAGCTGGTTATATAGAATCCTAGCAAGGAGAGAGAGGAACTTTCAGAGGTACCACTTAGCCACAAACAGAAAGAACAACTCTGGCTCTATTCGTTTTTCCTCCATAGGAAGGAGGAAATATCTAACTTAAATTAAAAAAGTTAGATGAACTTAGCAGACCCTGGCTTACCCTGGCAGACAATATTGAAATCAATAGTTTTTGTTTTGTTCTTGGTGTTTGTTGTTAACTTTTATTTTATTTAAGAACTGTGATATAAATGGACATCAGTTATTTTTTAATCAGTGTCTGAAAAAGAGACACATGGAACAGAAAATAAAAGTATGGCATATATACTTTGGTGTTTTACATGTGTATAAAGGCAAATGGCTATAGAATACTCACTACCACTTCTATAATACAAAATTTTGCACTTTTTTCTAATACTAAGTGAATACTAATAATAACAATGTTAGGTAGAAGTGTATCTGGTAAAGATACATAAAATATGCAATTAGGAAGAGGATGTATAATTTATTTAATAATATTTTCTAAGCCAAGTGCAATCTTTGAAAAGGTGATGAATATTTCATAACCCACAATAACATCTAACTAAACTCTGTAGCTTGGTTACACAGATATCATTTTTACTGAAGCAAAATAAATTCTTTATTTTAGATATAATTCTACTTCAGGTTTCTCTGAAAGTAGCATAGAGCAGCATCGATAACAAGTCAAGTTATGGTAGAAAATACATGCACTTTCTCCATTCCTACAAACTGAATACATCAGCAATTTTAGAGCCCCCTCATGAAGAGTATAACATCCCCAGCTGTGAAAAACAACTTCTGTAAATCTACGTATGGAAAGCTATTGAAATATATCACTAGAATCTGCCACATCTTTGAGGGTCAAGAAGCTTCAGTGCTGGATTTCCAGCTCAGTCTTCAATAATGCCTCAGTACTCAGTTCTGTTAGGGAAAGCTTTGAGTTTGGCACAAATAGTGAGGGTAAGAACTTAATTTCACCAAAATCTATGGCAAAAATCGTCTAAATTTTTCTGGTGAAAAACTGCACCTGTGGTTTTCAACACACTGTAACTCAAATTTTCAGTGGAAAAAAATATTCATAGGTTAGGGAAATTTTGTCCCACCTGGGAAACTACCCTAACACAGTATGCCTGGCTTTTCTAAAGAACAGTGCTTGCAAACTCTGACATCACTTTGTTGATGTTAATGACTTGTAAATTATATTGGCTTAAATCCAGAAAGAGTTCCTGGAAGAGTTGTCTGAATGGCAGATGAGCATTCTTCATCTGAGTGGGAAAACTGAAAGTGTTCTGCTCTGCTGCCTTGTGCACATGATCACTGAGCTAACACACCAAGGTTGAGATTTGAGCTCCCTGGGAACACAGAAATTAATTGTTAGGCAGTCACCTGTTAGAAACATTTGTATACAGATTTCAGTTCTGAGTTCAAGACTATTTAATGCAGTACATTACATACATATTCAATGTTTATTGATATGAGAAAGCCAAACTCCTAAAGCAGAATTGCTAATGTGGAGCTTCATTTTTTTTCACCATTTCCTCTGGAAATGATGAAAACCTGAAGTATCATGCAAAAGTTGCATGGAGTAAAAAAGTTTGAGTGAGAAAGACATAACTGGATCAAAAATACATGCTTTTCAATAACAACTTATCACAATCTAAGAAATATCTAAAGCAAATGAGATACATTAATTTTTTCTAGAAAGGTCTGAAATTTAATCATGTGTTTATTTAGCTTGAAATCAGAATTAAACCATCACATTAAAATAAGCCATTTTCAAGTCAAATCTTTTTCACTGAGTAAATGTGTAATTTCATAACAGGAAACAGGGCAGGGAAGGCTGATTCTGATTGCACATGGGATGATGACAAATGCACACTTTAAACAAATTGTATGGAAAATAATGAAAATAGTGTAAGATTTCTGACATTTTTAATAGTAATATTTAGGCAAAAATAATCAGAAACTGATTTTGGTTGTTGTTGTTTTCCTTTCAGTTTCAATGGGAACTTCAGAACTGTTTGCTCACTGAATTCTTCCAACCTGTGTTGAAGTAAAGCAAGTTCAGATTATCATCTCCATTTTTCAACATCCTACCCAGTTAACATCACACAATTTGTAAGTAATAGACAGTTGAAACCTAACTTCAACTGATGTTGCTACTGCTTCTTATTCCATAAGCTACAGTAGTCATAATTAAACAGAAGTGTGAAATAACAGTAAGTTTAGTTAGTGGGGAGACAGGCTAGATCAGAAAAGATTCAGGTTGAAACACTGAAGTCACAGTCTTACATGTTTATTCAATTTATGAGATTTTCAGAGCTACCAAACATAAAATCAGTTTTGTTACTCAGTTGATTAGATGTGTAAATAAGCACAGAGTCACAACAGGAAAGGTAGATCTTATCCACACACACACACAAAATAAATCTTTCATTACTCCTTCTGCAGCAGAAATGGGATTTTATCATGTTTCATATATACACATTTTTTGGTTTTGTTTCACTACAGTTTCTCATGTGAATTTTAAGCTTGGGAAGAACTAATGCATGGTCCAAAATTTCAAAATCTTCCATTTCAAGAGAGAAAAATGATTCTTTGATAACACTTCTGTGCGTTTTGAAATTCACTCTACAGTGCCCTTAGTTCCAAATGAGTCAGCTTTTGTTTGGTGATAGACATAGTGATGTAGGAATTGACTCATCTCTCCTATGAAGTGGTTCATAGCCACGCAACTACCATGATGTTATCAGGTGGGGGACAGTTTGTGCTACAGTTGACAGCAGTAACTAGGAAATTTCAGTGTAACAGCCGCCTGTTCCATCCTCAATCCACTGTAACACCTTTGCTCATAACTGGTATTGTTTCATTTTAAATGGTGAGAAAATGCAAAAGAATCTGTTACATTAAGATCTACTTGGGTCATGAAAAATCAGAAATTGCAGCTTGCAATAAGATATCTGTCTGAACTTTCTGCTTCTTTATTGGCGACTTATGGCAGATACTTCAAAAGGTAACAGAGAACCTGTGCACATACTTCATGTTGCCTTGGCTTGCTTTGCTGTTTAATTGTGTACTTTTATGGGGTAAAAATTGACATATGATGATGTGAGGGATGGACTAAAGAAAGAAAAAAAATAGGAAGGTACTGAATAGAAAGATCTGGTGAATGAGCTGTTGTGTCAGCAACAAACAGTAATACAGCACAGTAAAAATGGGAAATCGGTACAATGAAACAATTTCTGAAAATAAAATATTATTATTAAAACAAAATGGGTATTGGCATTTAAAATTGAAGCTTTTGTCTGTTAGAAAATCTGCACTATGCAACATACATTCATACCATATAAGAATTTTACAATGAATGAACCGCATTTTTTGCCAGCATCTTTGCAGACCTGTGAGTTGCTGATATTGACTGAGACTGAAGTGCTGCAGATGGCCTCATGCAGATAAAATACAGGTGCACTGAACAGCATACAGTCTAAACAGCATCCTCCAAATAAAAGAAACACAGTTATGCTGTTCCAGCATAATTTTCACAGAAAAAAATGTTCAACCTTGAATATTCTTGTGGGGATTTTTCTTTTCAGGAATGTGTGCTTCTAGAATGGACAGGTATGTGCTATACCTGTAATACCGTCAATGTAGCTGCAGAGCTCTGTACATTTTCTTGATATCCTAGTAAGAAATACCTCACTGCTTGTTGAGATAGAGATTTGAATACAGATAACTTAGTTGCTTAGTCACCTAGTTATTTCTCTTGCTTAGTCTTTACTTACTCAGATAATCAAAAGAATTGTTTGAGGAGGGAGAAACTCAGTCAAAATCAATCTAGCTTTGAAGAAATCAGATTCAAGTCCGTGAGAGATTCTGGACATGAGACTAGGTAAACATAATAGTAAAAATGACAAAAGGCCAAACTTCATTCTCTAATATTAGGGGAAAGCTTAGAGAGCATTTGCTGTTAGTAGTATTGCAATTGCTTGAAAAAACAGCTAAATGGCCTCTAGACATATTACAGCCATGTTGCACATCCCTAAAAAGTCAAAACCCAAACTCTTGCACTTTGTTTTTACTTCAGAGGAATCTTCCTAAATTTAGACTGTAGAAGATAACATGTAAGTGTTGCTTACCAGCATTTTAAATCTGACCCAGCTGTGAGCTTTCAGAGAGAGAGAGATCTCAACCCTTCCTCCCTGCATACATTCCTACCCCATCCCTGGTACTTAATCTGGGGTTTATGTACCTATTGACTAGAGGACCCTGTCCCATAACTTACGAAAATCATGTAAATGATTTGTTTCACATTCCATTAAAACACTTTTAAGCACCCAATTGTGCCATATAATTTTCTCTTTCTAATTGTAGATTCTTATTGGGCAGTGACTGGCTCCACCCCTGTCTGCCTTCCAGTAGCTGAATCTCTGAATCATCGTCTTTGTCCCATCTGGTAAGTGTGGGCTCAGGTAGTCTCTTACTGCAGTTTCCTATACAACTGCTATCAGGATTGTAAGACAAAGCCTTCTTCAGGTCACAATTAGCTTGTCATTGACCTCAGTAGAGTTTTCATAAAAGAACTAACAGGGAATTTGCTTTACAGAGTATTTGCTCAGTCTGCTGAGTGCTCTGGGTACACATGAATTAAATTCTAAAGTTCAGCTTGGTATTCCATAAAATCCCAAAACATAACAAAAAAGTTGTTGAGTATCATAGGAATCTCTTGTAATTTAACTTTCGACAGATTTCATGCCCTTCATCCTCTTTTTCCCTCCGAACTGAAAAAGCTGAGCTTTTTCTTTATTTTTTCGTATTACTACCTGCTTTTTGATGTCTCTCATTTTTGCAAGAAAAATCAAATCAAATCTAAACAGAAAATGTTGAAAAGAAGCTTTCATTTTCCTTCACTAAATAAATGTATTTATTAGCCTGTTTTGAAAATTAAGACACAAAATATTTTTAGTTCCTTCCTTTTTTTTTTTTTTTTTTTTTTTTTTTTTTTTTTTCCCATTGGAATAGATAGTAAACTGAGATTTTAATGAGTCACATAGCTCTAGGCCTAAGTTCTTTCTTACAAAGCTTTTATGTTCATTAGGAGACATTAGTTCCCTATTGTATGTTAATCCTTCTCCCACCACTTTAGTGAAAGAGAATCTCTCATCTTCAGTCTTCCTAGGATGGTATGCTAATCTGTCTGTCATCAGCCCTACATACACGCTGAATGCATTTCTGAGCTGCATACAGCTGTAGCTAAGACATGCATTCAGTCAACATGGGAAAGACTTTTTTTTTTTCACATTATAAGCTTTTTTTTTTTCTTATGATAGAGCCTTTTTTGACCTACTTTACTTTACTTTGAAGTTTTTTCATTGTTAGCAGTGAAGTTTAAAAGGTATAAGAATTTGCTTCATTTTAGATAAATGTTTGCAAGTATGAATGTGTTCAGATGTTCAGGTACCTTGATGACTGTCTGCTTTAAAACTACTAAAATGAAACAACAGACTTTGTTTGGAGAGTTCCAGTAATTTCTTTATGCAGCTTGACCAAAAGATAAGCAAAATAACTGAGTGTATAGTGGACTTTGGTTTACCCAGTCCAAAGCACCATCTCAAGTGATTTGGGGAAATAAAAACCTAAGTAACTGCATGTCAAGAGATTGGACATTAGTAGAACAAAAGAACTTGTGAACTAGGTGAGATAATGGAAGATGTCTGAACTTTTGGGTAGACCTGTGCGGTGTCAAGAGTTGGACTTGATGATCCTTAAGGGTCCCTTCCAACTCAGGATATTCTATGATTCTATGATAATATAAATCTGGGAGCAAATCACAGAAAAGAGGATCATCAGAGTTAAACAGAGAGTAGCTGAAAAAAAAGTGGAAGAAGAGAGAACGGAACATCAAACTAGCTTTTCAAAACTCAGAGTGGAGAAAGCAGTTTGGTTTTTTGTTTGTTTGTTTTTGTTTGTTTGGTTTGTTTTGGCAGGCAGAGGGGAAGGCAGGGAAAAGGTTGGTTTTATAAGCCATTTCATCAGTCTCTTGACATCATGCCTTCAACATTTTAATGTTTTTCTTGTTTTTCTTTAATGTTCTCTCTTAAGCCTGCAGTTATCCTTTTCCATTAGGAGGAGAATTTTAATTATTTTGGACATCAGATGTCTCAACTGACTTCCAGTTGATAAGCAGAACATACTAGAAATTTAATCAACCTGTAAAAATTGGAGTGAATTCATAGAGGTTGTATGCCACTACTGGCCATTATAGGACATCCATCCAGCTACAGCTCCTTGTCTAGTGGGAGTTCTGGTGCATTATTGTGTATTGGTTTCAGAGCTGTGATGGAGTTTTAAAACAGCACTGGTTAAATATTTTGTTGCTCCACCCCCACCCCTCTAAAAAAAACATCAGAATCTGGAGGAGGAAAAATTATCCTAGAATCACAGCCTGGGTGACCATTCTATTTATACTCAGTGTAAGTCAATTTTAGCTTCAAGGTAGGTGAAGTATCTTACCTCAATTGCCAGTGTGATATTAATAATGTCGTTCTTTTTTTTTTTTTTTTTTTTTTTTTTTTGTGCACATCTTTTACATTTTTTTTTTCAGAGGAAACATATTTTTCTAAGAAATTAATCTACTTTTTCACATCTGGCTGCTGAGCCAAACCTCCAGTCCTATTGTAAAGATTATGTGGCAGGTCACATTATTCTCTCTGCTTCAACAAAAATTAATTTTAGTAAGATGGGGTAGGGAAAATAGCTTAGCTATGAAGTATTTTTGAGACCTATTTTTGAGTACCCATATGAAGAGTAAGGGCTAAGTTGTGTGGTTAATTTCTATTTTAAAATGGGCAGAAATCACCAGGACATAATCATTGTATTTTTTCATATATAAAATCTAAACTGTCCTCCCTTCCTCTCTGTCTCACTGTTGCATCTATGCCATTTCACTTTGCAGAAACAACTCTTGGGAATGATCTTTCCAAGGACCTAGTGAGGCTAAGTCAAGTTCAATCCTTGTGTAATATTCTCTGTGGTAGCAGCAGTTCTACAGCTGAAGTATGGGCTGGATTTGGTGCTCTTTGTTTAATAAGCATCATTGTAGCACAGTTTATAAAGTGATTTATAGCCTGAGATATCTGCTGTAACGTGTGCTTTGTTCGCTCATGACTCAGTTGTGTTTTATCCCAGCTTAGCCTTAGGAAAGAGGAAAGCTCTGTCTCCCTATATCTGCCTCTAGGCAGAACAGAGATGCCTATTGGAGAGCTGCTAGAGTTACAGAAGGGTATGGGAGCTCTTCTCAGTGCTATTTCAAGAGAAGAGACACAGTGAAGGTCTGTTCCATCTTTCAAAGCAGAGCTGGCAAGACACAGGTGGGTGGGTCTGGCACATTATAGGCAGTTTGAACTGGGCATTCTTCCATGGCATCTTATAAACCTCCAGATGTCAAATCGGATGTTCTCACAACAACACAGATCCACTGCTAGTCTCCTTGAAGACAATAAGGATTGTACTATGGACTTCAGCTAGGTCAAGATCACATCAGTGCTATTTTATGTTCTGGTGTTACTTGAAGGGAATAGAAAAATTCTTTCTGAAATGCTGTGTGCTTCCTCCAATAAGAAACATAAACACACTGAAAAGAATTGCAACTCTTATGGCATATACAAGAAGTATGCAAGAATGAAAGGAAAGGGAACTGCAATTTGCAGTGTCCTTGCCTTTTCCAAGAAGCAACAATGTCTTCATAGAGTGCTGTCCTTGTTCACTGCTGATAGCTTGTTAGCTTTTGTAGCTGAATATCTTAAAACTTCTCTGCTGTCTTTCATTTCTCCTACCATTCTGTTATCAAAGGAAAAAAATGTGAAAGCTTAGAATACTAGAGATAAACATATATTTATAGTTAATGTATATACTAACCGTCTGAAAATGAGTGACGTTTACAGAAATAATATATATAATACTTCAGCATTGGTGGCAACCAATCTCTTCTTACTTCCGTTTCTTTTCTCCCAATTTCCCTTGAAAATGATTGCTGGAGTCTCATCACTCACAAGCAAAGAATGTTTTGCTATTAGTGTCTTGCACTTTTTTCTTTGCAAGGCTTTGCATTCTGTGCAATGAAGACTCTTAATTCTTTTAAGTTTTCAGATGTGATTCCTTTACCTTGCAGACTATCTTCATATGTTACTTTGTGTCTTTGCTGTTTTCTTATCTTTCTTGTCTTTAGTTATCACAGTTCTAGAATTCATAGAATCCTGCAGCTTCTCATGTTTCTATGCAAATAACATGTATCTTAATAGCATAGTACAAATGTATGTCTGTAGTGCAGGAAACACCAATCATCTCTAACATAGCTGTTAATAGCATCACAGAAAGCCACTTTGATACAATGCAAGTTTGAATTTTCTGCATTGTTGCAGGATTTGTGGTACCCTAGTATGCGGTATTGGGCTTCATATTCTTTAACTAGAAAACATAATTATAATACTAAGATTAAAAAATAGTTTCTTAAAAGTCTATCATTTGAACATTCACTTTGCACATACGCTATGATGCACCCTCTCCTAGATTCCAAAGTTAAGTTCGAACTTCATATGTGTAACTGCAGTACTTTCAATACAGAAATCATTAGAAACGAATATCAATTGATAGAACATCTTTTCCCAGAGCTGGGGAGAGCAGAACACATGCATTCAAATTTCTCTCCTCTGCACAGGAAGAATAGAAATGAGAGGCTGTGCTGACAGTGACCTCTGGCAGGGGACTGGCAAGTCTGCACTGACCTCCACAGTCCTCTGGGTAGTGCTGGCTGTAAGGTGCTGCTAAGTGGTGTAGGAAGCACTGTAGGAACAGGACCGGAATGCCTTTTCTAAAGGCTGACACCAGAGGTTGACATGTCTTATCCATAGTCCTTCACACAGTCAGTCACCTCGCTTCTTCTCATCTCTTCTGATTCCCTTTGCCAAGGACTGACACAGCAAACTAAAGGGAAGCTCAACAGCTGGGCTCCAACACAGGTAACACAGAAACAAGCCCTAAAAGTTAGTGTTATCAGAAGATGTATGAGCACATACCAAGTAAATGGATCATACCTCAGTAATTACATGGAAAAGAGTATATGGATATATACCAAGCATTTCATTAAACAACAAAGTAATTTCTCCTTTACACTTCTTGAATTCCAAAAAGGTTTTGAACAGGTGCATTATGTTATGTTTATTACACATAAGTGTTTAAATAATGTATATTCCATTCTTCCATTCTGTAGTACTAGCAAGGTCTTCTCTTGGCGGTTGCTAAATGTAAATAACAATACATAGGGACATTGTCCCCCCCCCCCCTTTTTTTTTTTCAATCGAATCTACAATCACACCTGGGGCAACTTAGCAGCAATTAAAACTTTGTCTCCTGAGACAAACCTAACTGTGCATGAAATTAAGTGAGGCCCTAAGGTTA